CCTGTTCTTCTTTTTGCGGATACAGACTAACACGGCTGCTACTCTGAAACAAGAACTGGGGTCACCCAATGAAATTAATAGGCAGCAGGTTTATAACAAACAAAAGGAAGTATTTCTTCACACAAAGCGTAGTCAACCTGTGGAACTCCTTCCCAGAGGACGATGTGAAGACCAAATCTATAACGGGTTTCAAAAAAGAACTAGATAAGTTCATGGAGGATAGGTCCATCAATGGCCATTAGCCAGGATGGGCAGGGATGGTGTCCCTAGCCTCTGCTTGCCAGAAGCCCCTCTGGGGCACCTGGCATTGGCCACCCTTGGAAGACTTGATACAGGGCTAGACCCAGTTTGGCCATTCTTATGTTATGTTCTTATTTTTCCTGGTCCTTCAGCTTAGATGGACAACACTGATGAGACCTCTGGCTGGATTCTCCATTGTGTCTTTGGGGGCATAAGAAATAATTTGGAAAAACAAACCTTATGATACTGTCACTCACTGTGTTTTATTTGTTTTAGGCTGTCAGAATTTCATTACCAGATTTCATTGTCTAAAACAGAGAAACAATGAACAACAGGGGATATACACAGGGATTGCTTTGATATTTAGTGAAGTTTGTGCCTTACACAACGTGACAGCTGTGTGCATTATCAGATGTGATAAACCCTCCTCATCCAGGGTGAATGTTCAGCTAACACCATGGAGAAACTACCAGCATCTTGTATGTATAAGTGTTGAACTGCTGAACAGTAGGTTCAAACAGGTTAAAAGAACTGTCCCCCAATCTCATGTTCCTATATGTTCATAAACATTCTGCCTCAGTCACTCCATGCAGATTATGTCCATTTCTTTTTCACATCAGCGCTGACATATTCAATAAGAATTTTCAACTTAATTGCAGTGGGGGCTGTTTGACTAAATCACTTGGGCATCTTTGAAAATCTCAGTCTCAGTGATGATCTAGGAATCTCTGCAGGTTTTTTTGAATGCCACATATTTAGTGTATGTTTTGGTCAAGGCTTTCCTGACCTCTTTGTTTCTCAGGCTATAGATGAGGGGGTTCACCAGGGGAGTCAGGACCGTGTAGCAAAGGGAGAGCACTTTCTTTAACACTCTCAGTGTATCGAGTGTCGGTAGCATGGAGACACTCATTAGCGTTCCATAGTAAATTGTCACCACAATGAGGTGCGAGTAGCAGGTGGAAAAGGCTTTGTACCTCCCAGTGGTGGACGGGATTCTCAGGATAGTGGCGATGATACACACATAGGATGTCAGGGTTAGTAAGAATGGAGGCAGGGTGAATACACCTGCTAGGATAAAATCCAGCAACACCATCAAGTGTGTGTCACTGCAGGCGAGTTTTATCACTGGGATGACATCACAGTAGAAATTGTCAATTTCATTCAGGCCACAGAATATTAACTGTGACAGGAATAATATAAAGATGGTTGTAGCCAAGCAACCATTTAACCAGGATCCAGCCGCCAAGTGGAGGCAAAACCTGTCATTCATCAGAGCTGAATAGTGCAGGGGTTTACATATCGCTAAATATCGATCATAAGACATCGCTGCTAGAAGATAGCATTCTGTAGCTGCCAGAACACCAAAGAAGTAAATTTGTGTGATGCAGCCACTGACTGAGATGGTTCTGTCCCCAGTCAGGAGACGGGCCAACATCCTGGGCAGGATGGTGGAGGTGTAGCAGATCTCCACGCAGGACAAGTTCCCCAGGAAGAAGTACATGGGGGTGTGAAGGTGCTGATCAGCCACTATTAATGCCATGACAAGGATGTTTCCGGCCACAGTTGTGATGTAGATCACTAGGAACAGCAGGAAGAGAATTATTTGTAGGTCAGGGATATCCCCGAATCCCAGCAGGATGAATTCTGTGACGGTTGTTTGGTTTCCCCAGCGTGTGTCAGCCATGGGTTGAGTCTAGAAACAATAAAACAAACTGTGCAATCGAATCAGTAGAACATTAAGTGTCAGGAATTCATTCCATAAATTTTCAAAAACTCCTCCCCCGCTTCTGGTTACCCCCTTAAATGTTAAAGCTAAATAGAAACTTCAGAGCAAAGTGCCAGGAGTCTCAGTCCAAGAACAGCACATTGGTATCCCTGCAGACTCACTCTCTACTATATCAGAGCCATAACTACGATAACAACAACCTATTTCTCTGGTAACCCAATTAGTGATGTGACTGGTCAGACCCCTTCTTGATCTGCTGTCATATCCTGTCTACTGACATACTGGGGTTTAACAATGATATTTCAAAGCAGCATTGCACTGGTGGCCATGGCCAGAATCATGTCATGTCTTAGGAGGAGTTAAAATCAATAACGCCATCAGCACAAATCTTGGACTGTGATTTTCAATACCATCTAGTCAGTGTCTGTTAGAATTTAAGAGAGTTAATCTAATAATAGATCTTGGCATATTGAGCATTTCAGTTTCCTACAGGAAAAGGAATAATTATTTTTATCCCCGCACAAGAGATCAGTTTGTCATAAATTATGAAGTGGAGTCAATTCTTCCTTACTTCATGTGAAAATAATAATGAAGAGGAGGAGATGCAGAGGGATTGGCAATGCATTTTTTCTTTTAGATTCGAGTTCCCTTAGTTAACTATGAATATCCTGTCTCTCTTCAGGGTGGATTTCAGGTCAGGCCAAAACCAGGCTGATCTGCAGTTCTAATTGGGGAGTGACTCTCCACACTGCGTAACCACTGAGGGCTGATAATACAGGAACAAGAAGGGGACTGGGGAAGAAAGAGGCTGCCTCTGAACTCAGAAACCATCTGCATGTTCTACCCTGGAATCTTGGGTAGTAACATTTTATGACCGCTCGCTCCACCACCACCATTGGGATTCACTCTGTGTCCGATCCCAGCTGGAGTCAATTGGCCATAGCTCCATTGGAGTCAATGGGACAGATCCCTGGCTGAGGACCTTTCACAAGACATGTATCTCAATTTCCTCCTTCTTAAATGATGCTATTAACACAGACTAGCTCTTCTGTGGGAAGATGAGGCCAAAACTCTTAATATTCACAAAACACATTCATGCCCCGGTTTCGAAGGTGATATAGAAAGGTAGTCAGGAAGCTAACCTGGATGGCTTAGGCATGAAGTGAGCTCGTATGTCTCTGGGTTTGGCCACCAGAACTCAGGTTCTTCAGTTGCGGTTTTTGTCTCATCATTCTGCGGAATCTGGATGTTCTCAGTCAAGAGACCTGCATGTACATGAATGGACGAACATCTGCCATGATCTGTCTTAGCACAGGCTCTTCCCCCTCAATGTACAAAGTGCAGACATCTCCTCAGACTTGTATCCTTCTCCCTGGCATGCTGCGTCTCCCTTGAGTCCACATCTGAAGGGCTGAGCCTGGGGAGTTAGTTCTGTGTTTTCTGTGCAGACGGTACAAACTACTCTCCTGATGCAACCAACCTCCCACACTCAGAGGAATTGACTTTCTCCTACCTGCTGTCTGAGGTCATTGCTCTGAATGACTGAAATGTAACACAGAGCCCATGGAGTGCATGATCCTGCAGAGACTGACTCTGCTCTGTAATATTTACTCATGTCAGTTGTCCCATAACCTTCAATAGAAAAAGTGCATGAGTAACAATGGCTAAAATCAGTCAGTCCTGGAAGACTGGGTGTTGAAGGTGTGAAGTTTAATGAAAGCACAGGAAACTGAATGTAAATTAAATTTAATCTGTAGTTTAAAATTGAAATATTTGGATGAAAGGAAATCTCTCTCTCTCACACATACAGACAGACACACAAACACAACTGAAATTTTTCTCCCAAGGAAATAGGTTGTGATTAGTAATTACTATTGTATACTTATTTATTTAACAATAATGTCTCCCTTCTGCTAAGCAGAAGTGGAACTCCAGGCCTTGCAGTGAATTGTGATCCATTGTCCATCACTTATCATTATGGAATAATGATTCAATTTAAGTCAATTACACTGTGACTTGTTATGTCTTTCAGTACATTATTATTAGTCTGTAGAAGAGAAGACTGAGGGGGGACATGATAACAGTTTTCAAGTCGATAAAAGGTTGTTACAAGGAGGAAGGAGAAAAATTGTACTCCTTAACCTCTGAGAACAGGAAAAGAAGCAATGGGATTAAATTGCAGTAAGGGTGGTTTAGATTGGACATTAGGAAAAACACTGGAATAAATTGACTACGTAGGTTGTGGAATCTCCATCACTGGAGATTTTTAAGAGCAGGTTAGACAAACACCTATCAGGGATGGTCTAGATAATACTTAGTCCTGCCAAGAGTGCAGGGCACTGGACTAGATGACTTCTCAAGATCCCTTCCAGTCCTACACTTCTATGATTCTATGTTTTCTATATACATGGGAAAATAGTCCACTATGACCAGATAATGGTGTCCTCCGCATACACCTAAATGTGCAGCTAGTTTCTTCCAAGGGCTCTCTTGTAGAGATAAGAAGTATAAGGGGCCTACCATCAATCAAACACAGGCCCCGCCCCTGATCCCTCAGGCCCCGCCAACCTGTCACCCGAAGACCCGCCCCGGGGGTATTAATTCCGGGGTCAAGATGGACACATGATCGGAAGCAAAGGGTGTCATGTGGCCCCTCTAAGAACTCCTCCCACCACCCTCTACCAATCAGGATGGGCTCTCCCCCCCCGTAGAACTGCCCTGAGGGGGAATTTGACCAATAGGGAGGAGTTCCGGGGCAGGATGACCTGCCCAGAAGAGGGTCCTGTGACCCCCTCTAAGAGCTCCCCCTACTGCCTTCTACCAATGAGAGTGCAGCACTGCCCCAGAAAAGCCCAGCAGTGCATGGAAGAGGCCACTTCATTCCAAGAACGCGTGTTTTAGAAATCGTGGAAAAGCTGATAGGAAACATGGATTCCTTCACCACCCCCGTGAGAACTTCAGACTTTGTTTTAGCTCCGAGGGCCTTTGACAGCCCATGGAGAAAGTGCTACATCAGCAACAGTTCTGAGGAGGAGGAGGGAGCAGCCGAGGGGAGCCCTTTGGCCCAGCCATTGATGGATATGCCGTAACCCAACCCCGAAACCCAACCGCTTCTGAGGAAGACCGATGAGCATGACGGCCTCTCGTTGTCCACCCCTCTAGAGTAGGAAGGTGACCGTGGCTCGTGGGAATCACTGGTGGACAGGTGAATGGAAAAGACATTGCTCGGGTAAATGAACAATTAAGAATTGACGGTTGAGGATGGGGTGTAATGGGGCTAGGAACTGACTCGGGATTGCGTAAAGTGGGTGCTTACAGTTGTTTCTTTTCTGAAAATATCTTGACAGCTTGACGATGCCTTTTTAGTGGACCCTGAGGCACTGGACAGCATTGCATCAGACAGTGAAGACGAACCGGGCCCGCCTTGTTTTTGCTCAATGCCGATACAAAGCATTAACGAGGATGCCGAGGATGACAGCTATATGGATTTAAGGAGGAGGCTTGGCACATAACTAACTGAGCTGGTGAACGTCATGAACGTAAAAAAGTCATGCGTTCTATTGTGCATGTTGCTGTTTCTGCTGTCCTTAATCTTAGGGAAAAGCTTTTTGAAGATTGTGAGGGCTGTGTCATAGCCGCACCAGCCCAATGGCACCATGACTGTGTGAGTTGGACTTCGGAGGATATAAACTGCAAGCTCTGGGACCTGTGAGCTGACCGGTGTTTGGAAAGCTTATTAAACACTCTTATTGACATAGGTTATGCTTTGCAATGTCTGTGCGTAACCCAAGAAAATTTAGCACAAGGAGTGACCTTGGTAAATGCTGTGCAATTTGGTCGAGACCCTGAGAGTTTTAAAGAAAATGACTAAACTGGAAGATGCCTGTTACAGCGTTATATTGATCATATGGTCTGCACAAAAAGTTACCAGACCCCGCTTAAGAAAAAGACTACAACCATGCAAACACAAGTCCAGTTCCTCAGCGGTCAACAACAAACCCTGAGAAAACTCTGAGGGAAAACACACACATTCACAAACCCGGACCATGAGCTTTAGGGATTGTGAATAAAAAACCAATGACTGAAAGCTCCTGCAACGCTGGGGTATTGCAACCACGCAAACACAAGTCCAGTTCCTCAGCGGTCAGCACCACACCAATTCCTGAGAAAATTCTGAGGGAAAACACACACATTCACAACCACTAAAGTATATGCTCCAGGTTTGTGAATGTGTCTGTTTTCCCTCACAGTTTATGTGTGTGTGTATGTGATTCAGGGGTCCTATTCTAGAGATAGGTGTGTGGGGTTTTACAGTATTTTGCAGTATTTTGTGTGGGTTTTTAAAAGGACAGTCTCCAAAAAAACTGAGCTTTTTATACCATCCTAACTCTTTTTTTCAGAGTTTGTACTTAGCAGGTTGATTCGATCACTTACAACTCTGAATTAATAGATACTTAAGGAAATTAGGCACCCCTTCCCAAAGTTCCCTTTTGTGATCTGAGGCGTGGGGGAATTAAGTTGTCTGCACAACTGGTCTGCTTTTTTTTTTAGTTAAAATACATTTTTCTGTTTTAATGAAAAAACAGAGCACTGTAGGGCCTTATAGAATCATAGACTCAAGAACTGGAAGGGACCTCAAGAGGTCATCTAGTCCAGTGCCCTGCACTCGTGGCAGGACTAAGTATTATCTAGACCATCCCTGACAGGTGTTTGTCTAACCTGCTATTAAAAATCCCAAATGATGGAGATTCCACAACCTTTCTAGGCAATTTATT